TTTTTTTTTTTATCTGTTTGACCATTAAGAACTTTGTATGAACTCAGTTAAAAGTGACATGAACCCTGCTGCTGCCCCGGGGTCAAAAGGACCTGCTGGATCGTTTTGAGCCCAGGGCAGCAMGAGGGTTCAGATAAAACTCCGCACCGAGCTGCTCCTCTTCCTCTCACCCTCTTCAGGACGTTCAGGCGGTACTTCAGTTTGGCATTTTCCTCCCGCAGCTCGTCCAGGCGCGGCGATGGACCGAGGTTCTGCGGGTTCTTCAGGCTCTCGATCTCCGCCGACAAACTCTGGATCTCCCGTTCCTTAAAGTAGTGAAAGAAACGTATCTGTTAAACTGTGGTGGGCAACAATAAAAGTCTTAAAATAAAGCAATCACAGCAAAATAACTTTTCCCCCGAGCTGAGCTCATTTTTTGATTTACAGCAGCTGAAATGTCTAAAATGTGTCCAAATATGAGACAATAAAGCAGCAAGTATCAATGTTTACCTGATTAAACTGGATAAAAACAACTCTAGGTTACTTTTAAAAACTTGTTGAAAAGGTTTTTGTTGTAACTTCAAGCAATAACCTCCTAATCTTCAGCTCTGATAAAGAAAAGAGAATCAGAACAAAACTGAAAGTTTATTTATTGTTTCCACAACACTCAGATAAAATCATCCACAAAGCCTGTGTGAACTTTAAACTTTTGTAATAAAACTTTTTGGCCTCATTTTAAACAAGCATACTCATCAGATAATGAGTTATTGATTTTATTTTTTGTTTAATAGATCAAAAGGTTAAATTAAATCTTCAGAATTTTTTTTTTTTTTTTGCAGTTTAATCGACCTGCCATCCTTGTTACAACCACTAGAGGCGCAAAACACAGGCTAATATCTACAAACACTTGAAATTTAATATTTTTACCCTTGTTTTTGAACTAAATGACATGTCAACGTTAAATAATTTAATAAGAAAAAACTGTGATAACTTCTGTTAAATTCGGCACCAAACTAATGTAATATAAAACCTAAATAACACTTAAAGCTCTTCATTTGATTCATAATAAATGTAGCGTCATGGCTAAACGGGGTGGGAAAGTTTATTTTAATTAAATGAGATGGTTTAAATACTATATAAATAAGACGAATGTTATATCTGCCTAACAGTACTAGGAAAAAACTTAACTTTTTAATTAAGTTGTTTTAATATTACAGTTATAAGAAAAAAACTTAAACTCTTGAGTTTTTGAATGAAGTCTGGCAAGGCGCTGCGGTCAAACACAGGTTTAGCCCGGTTGCTAACATTATCTTGTCGTGTCACGGAGCGGCGGCTGACCTGCTGCTGGAACCGGGCTGAGTACTCCGTCACAGGGTCTCCCATATTTCTGAAACGCCGGGGTGAAGCTCTGCTCGTCGGCTGGAAGTGGACTCTCGTGTCTGATGAAACAAAACTACCGGAGGAAAYGGAGGAAGTTCACAACTTTCACCGCTAGACGGAAGCTGCACGGCGCCCCCTGCTGGACCGGAAGTTCATGACACGCTGATGATGCGTTCAGGGCACCTCAGAAATGTGATAATTCAGCTATTAGACGTAGGTCTGTACTGGATCTGGGTCATGTGGGTCTGTCTTGGGTTCGGTCAGGTCGTCAAAAAGTTTGACTGCAATTATAAAACCCAACAAAACACAAGTAGAAGAGAAGAACTTTTTATTTGTTGTGAAACTACAAAACATACCATTTGTTTTGTGTTTTATTTTTTTGTGCTGGTGAAATATTTACAACTCTTGTCGACAGTACAGTGTCTGAGAATAAAATTCACAGCTTTTCGGGGCTTTCAATAAAAAGAACAGAAACAAAAGCACACCCAAATCACAAAAGTGCAATAAATACATGCCGTCTGTTTGTCGTGGCCGCCTGCAAACATCACCCATTTCATCAGCAGTCGTAATACAGATTCATTACAAAACAAAAACATAATCCAACAAGAAAAACAACAAAAATACAAGAATTATCAACAAACTACATCGTCAACAATCATTTGGGACTAACGTTGATCTCAGATTTCGTGTAAAAACCTACATTCCTTCATTCAGGTCTTGGTTTTTGCGGTAAAAATTAGTCTTTTTAATATTTTTTCATCTACTCTACGGTGAAGAAAACATTCAGCATCTTCTCTGTCCAAGGCCACAACTTTCTGGATGTTTAAGACAAACAAAAAAAGTTGATAACAGAAGACGTTTAGTTCTCGTCACAGAGTTTCCTGTTAGTTTTTCTGCCTGAAACCATCCGACTCGCACAGAATTTAACTCCAGTTCCTCCAAACAACTTTGATCTGTGGATTAAAGAGCCTCGATTATCTTAAGAGTTAAAGAAGTGACGTCGTTCCTCCGGGGCGAAGCTGCCGCTCTTGAAGAGGAGACTTCGTTTGGTTGTTTCTTAGCTGAAGCTGGATTTACAGGCAGATTATTCACCTCCCCTCCTTTGTGAGGGTCATAAAGGTCTTTGTGGACCCGGTCCGTACGAGACGTTCTGGTCTTCACTTCGACCTCCAACACCAGGTATTTTATTATTTATATTCTTTACAAGTTTTAGTTTTTATGTTTGGGCTCTTATTTAATGTCTTTATTCTCCTGCTTTGGTTATTTGTCGTTTTTAAGTGCTTTACAAATAAAGTTGGTTTGAATTGGTCAAATCCATAAATGTGTAAATTTAGGGCCGTTCACATGGGAACTTTTATTTCTAAATACGCAAAACAAATTTATTGTTTCAGTTTTCCTAAAAATAAAAAAGGGGAAAAAATTACAAGTAAAGAAAAAATTAGTTTTCGTGTAGACAGCCAAAACAACTTTTTGAAAACAGTGATGTCATCACCTCATCTTTAATCAAYCCTACAACGTTAGGATGTTTTCTTCTATGTATGGATTTCCTGTTGGACCACTAAATAAAACCATAAAGACCCTGAGGAGGGAGGGGAAGGAGAGCGATTTGAATGTAAGTCCAGTTTATGAGCTCCTGGGACGAGAAAACATTATAAAAATAAACTCGGGATCGTGGCGTCGTCTCCTCAGACAGATCCAGACCTTTCATAAAACAGTATTCATTCATCAAACTATAAAAATGAAGAGTTTGTGTTTCTTTGCTGCCGCTGATGTAAAAAAAAACAAAAACACCTGGAATGAGTGTAGCAGCTGGTTTCTGTCGGCTCGTTAAATCAGACTTGTGGTTTTGAAAAAAAGCAGCATAATGTCAGTTTTTTACGTCTCTACTCTCTAATTATTTATTTTTAGCCTCGGGGAGCTGAAACAGCTAAAAAGGCAAACAAACATTCAGCAGCTACGTCTGTGGCTCCCGAGGGAAATTTCGGCTGCTAAACCTTTGCTGGTTGTTGAATGGGTAAACAGAAAAAAGACCGAAGTGAACTGAAACTGTAACGGCGCCAGCTTTCAAATCTAAAGGTAAACAGAAACTTTGTGTTGGGGACATAAACAGATATGTTCAGTTGATATGTATCCAGTTACAGCAAAGAGAAGCAAAAACTGAAAAATAAAAAAACAATCACAGAAAAGGGCGGGCTCTTTAAATAAAAGCTTCTGTCGTCCTATTGGCTGACGGCTTCCATCAATCACAGTCATTAAAACGTCTTCACTTCCTGTGCTTCAACCATCAGGGATCATTCCAGCCAGATGCAAAGGATTCTGGGAGTTCTGTTTTTAATCCCAGAATCCCTCATCAAGTTTATTTTTATATATATTTTAATTTTGATAAAGTGCGAACTATCCGATCGACTACCTGAGTGTTAGTGAAGTTAGTGTTTCTACACTTTAATAAACCGGTTAGAGATAATCGTGAGGACATTTAAAAATAGAAAACTTTCTACTAAAAGTTTAGAAAATAAATTCCAGTTATTCTCTAGAAGATGTTCTGTTTGTGTGAAACCACGGCGGCTCGGTTCTGATGAAGAAACGAGAGTTTCGATCTTTAAGATTTGGCGCCACCTCTGGTCAAGGATGGGAACTGCAGCTTAAATTMTAAGCTTTTATTTTGCTTTAAAGTGGATTTTACTTTATTTTGTTAAGACTTTACTCTAAAATGTCACTAATAAGTTTTTCTGGTTTCTTCAAGTACAGGAAAATTTAATCCACGCATCTAACGTCACAATAAGAGCATGTAGCCAGAGCTTTTATTGTGAAAAWTTTTTAAATTTTTCTTTAAATCCCTGTTTTTTCTTTATAGAGATCTAAAAATAACTTGAGACTCAAGCAGTAAAAAAATATTTGTTTTTTTGTATAAGTTTTTAAAAACTATATCCCTAATAAAATGATTTGTTTTGATGCTTTTAGACATAAAAATAAAAACTAAACCTTGTTCCGTGGCCGCTGAGAGCTCTAGGTTTGTGTCGGGTACATTTTTCAGTCGTCGTCTAAAAAAAATCCTGATAAATRCTTTCCAACTAATAATTCATTTCTCTTTTCAAACTTTCTAATTGAAATGCCAAAAAACATCTGCCGGGCCACAAATTGATGAGAACGTTGATTTTACAGAAAAAACATCTTATCTCGACTAAAGGAAGCCTTTTTTAAACTTTGACATAATTTACAATTAAACTATAAAGTTTAACGGTGGCAGAAAACAGTAAAAAACAAAGGTAAAAACTGCTCTGTTGTTCTGGTTTCTGGAGCTCAAAAATATCTGCTGAGTCATCGTTTCTCAAACGAAAATTTGTGTAAAAATCTCTGATGTAAACGGGATTAACAGATTTAAAAAATAAAATAAAATTGAATACAGTTACGGCACCTGCAGAGCTCCATGGCTGACGTGCAGAATGGTTCTGGAGGCTCCTTAAGTTTCCTGTCCCTCAGGTTTCTTTTGACCCGTTAGGATCTAGCAAAAAAAAAAAAAAAATACACTTTTCCGGTCCAGAACAAGTCAAAAACCTTCTCAGCCTCTGGTCCAGATCAAACCTTAAAAAACTGAATACTGAGATGGACGCTGAATGAAAATAACCTCAGACTTATAGACCCGTCTTTAAGAACCTGAACTGGTTCTGAAGTGGGACAAGAACCACTCAAAACATCATTTTTAAATGACGTCATTTCCTACCCAGATGCATCCTGGGAGTTGTAGTTTTCTTATACTCAAAGGGATGTMAAAAATAAAAGTCTTAAAGATGAAAACTCTCGTTAAACTCCAGCAGCTGCTGAAGGAGAAACTCTCAGATTTGTTTTCGTGAGAAAAACAAAGTGAAAATAAACAATAAAAACCGTGTGCTTGTACATTTGCATAAAGTTTTCTAAACGCTCTAAAAACAGAATTTTAAACATCTTACAGATATTCTCTTAGCTTTAGTACCGTTTCTGATCCTGTGCTGGTTTCTGTGTCAGTTTAGTTTTGTGATTTCTGCTGGAATGATTTTAAACGTGACGGAGAGCCGAAGCGGCGCCGTGCTGCGCCTCAGAGCTCCCTTAGAGACGGGTTTCTTAACCGTTTCCCTGAACGCCCGCCGGTTTGAATTCTTCATGACTCTGCCGCAGCGCAGGTCCAGACCAAGGAGGCAAAAGTCCTCTGAAATGTTTCTCTACACGTCGTCGGACGGCAGGTCGGGGATGAAGGTCTTGGCTCGTGTGAAGAACGCCATCTTCTCTCTGGAATCACAGGAAACAAACCAGCTTCAAGTTTTAAATCTCCGAGGTGGGTAGAGCTAACCAAACAGTTAGCTTTGCTAACTCATGATCCACTAACTACAAATATAACTATGCTAACATTAACATTTAAAAAAATAGCAAAGCTAATGCTAACAACTAAGATCGACTGGTGGGACAGACAGAGACCTGTTGATGTTAGCTTGTTAGTTAGTTGTTAGCGGATCTAAAGTTGGCAAGTGTTAATTTAGTTTAACGTTTGTGGAACTAAACAAAAAAATAGTTCTACTATTAGCTTTTAGCTGTTTAGCGGAATCATTCCCACTATCGTTAAAGCTCTAAATGAGTCGAACTATAGAAAAGTTTGAATCCGAGTCCTACCTGAAGGTCTGGACCTCAGGGACCTCTTTGCGGTTCTGTCCTCTGATCTTGTGGACGTCCTTGGCCGCAGCTCTCATCATCTTCTCGACCCGTTTCTCCTGCAGCTGCTCCTCCTGCGTCTGATGGGAACAGAGAGGAGGTTAAGTTCTCGGCTCCTCGGCAGACCAGGACTCGAGTCTCTGCGGTTTTTACCAGTTTCTCGGCCTGCCTGAGGAGGAGTCGGAACCGCTCGTCRTCCTGGACCCAGGCAGGGAGCTGCCTCTGGCCCTGCTGCCTCGCCTTCTCCATCTGCGACTTCAGCTCCCGCAGGACCCGGAGCTCCTGATCCAGCCGGGCCTGCCGCGTGCGYGACACCTGCAGGTCCAYCTCCAGGTCCAGGGAGGTGCGGAGAAGACCGTCCAGACCTTTGACCTGGACAGGAGGCTGTGGGATGAATAGGAAGCAGAATTACGATGAAATTAACTACAATTTAACACAAAATATAATGAATTTATTCTCAAACAAGTGAGCCTGCGAGACAAAACTCAGGGACKGAAAACTTTCTTTTTATTTTTTGGTTTTTGGAGTGAATCCATGTGGGACAGTTTTAACAAATTTAAATAAAATATTTGTAATAGTTTTTTATTTAAGACAGATCAAAATCAGTTTAAAACAGACGATTACCGAAAGACGAGAGAAGATCCCGGGAGAGCCCCCAAAGTAGGTTTTGTCATTTCTAATTTTTAAGACTTCCATGTGGTAAACTGCGTGTTTACAGAGCAGGACTTCAGAGGTCAGTCCTTAGAGGGTGGGTCTTTAGAGGATGGTTTGTTTAGAGGACAGGTCTTTAGAGGACAGGTCTTAAGAGGACAGGTCTAGAGGGGGCAGGTCAGATTCTTTAGAAGACAAGTATTTAGAGGACAGATTCTTTAGAAGATGTGTCTTTAGAGGACAAGACTTTAGAAGATAGGTCTTAAGAGGACAGGTCTTTAAAAGATGGGTTTTTAGAGGACATGTCTTTAGTCTAAAGACATGTCCTCTAAATTAAGAGGACTGGTCTTTAGAGGATGTGTCTTCAGAGGACTGGTCTTTAGAAGATAGGTCTTTAGAGGACAGGTCTTTAGAGGACAGGTTCTTTAAAAGACAGTTCTTACCTTCTTCATGCGCATGCTGCGTCTCTCCGAGGCGTTCCTGACAAACGGGGACCTCTTGGAGAGGGTGGAGCTGTCGCTGTCACTGCGGTTAATCTGCAAAAAYGAAGCCGAAGGAGAGACGGATCCCYTTAAAAACCAGAGAGAGACAGTTCCGGGTTTTGTCCCTCAGCTGGGGTGTCAGGTTACCCTGCAGATGTACTGGCTCTGAGGTCCGGGGGAGAAGGTCTTGGAGCGGATAATGGTGTTGCCCCTCAGGAACACGTTCTGCTGGCGGACGTCCGGGCGCCGCTCTTTGGGTCGGACCGCGGAGCAGAGACGGGACGAGGACAGGCCGTCCACGCTGGTCTCCTTGTTCACCTGGGTGGAGGTGGGACAAAGCAGAGGGGGCGGGGTCTGGTTTACAGAGCGCCTGACGGTCAAACAGAGGAAATAAACAAAGCGTTACCTTCTCTTTGACGGGTGCTGCTAACGGAGCTGGTTTGGTCACAATARGTTCCTCCTCCTCCTCTTCATCCTCCTCCTCTTCCTCCTGGCCGCTCTCAGGGTAAAACTCATCTTCGACTACATCTCCATTTCCTCCTTCATCATGGAATACCTCTGCCTCCAGAGAATCACCACGCCTGAAAATCAAAACGATTGTTTTTATTACAGCGGGGTTTACAGAAAATCTGGACCACCTGGATCTGTCCCAGCCAGGACCAGCCGGGTCAGGACAAGGAGCTGCGAAACAGATCCAGGATGTGTTCTTTAGGTTTTACTCACCAGTCCCCGTCGTCCTGAGGTCCAACTGCATCGCTGCTATCGACACGAGCCTGAAAAACAAACCTCTGACCCGTTAATGATCCAGAACACCTACAAGAGAACTGGTCCAAACCTCAACCTTAAAGGGATGAAACCAGGTCATGATTTTCAAACATTTAAAGAGTCATAAAAACAGATAAATTTAAAGGAATAAATATATATTCCTGGTAGAGCTGTATTTAAATAAGTTCTTGGTAAATAAATAATAGCATGTATTATTAATTATTTATAAATACTGAGTAAAAATAAAATTTTATTTGTGATTTTCTGAATAAATCTGTAAATCTGGATATTATTCTCTGCGTGTCCACCAGGTGTCAGTGTTTCACGGTTACCCTCTCAGAGCCGCGGGCCGCCCTGCTCTCCCCCTCCTTGCTGCTGATGTCGGGCATGTAGAGGCGACTCAGCAGGTTGTACCACTTGGTGCTCCTCTCCTCCGAACAGCCGACGTCATCCAGGCTGATCTGAGCCCCGGCCTGAGGAGAACCGAGCCCGGTTAGTCTCAGTCTTTTTAAAAAACCAACCTGTCCCGCGTTGCATCAGAAACTGACCAGACAGTCCTCGAGGCCGGACCGCCCCGCACCGCAGACGTCCACCCTCAGAGTCTTCTGCCGCAGCACGCTGTGGGAAATCTGCACACCGAACACCTCGTTGATCTGCACGGCGTCCTGCAGAAGCGAGCCGCGCGTTCGGAAGAGGCAGCGGGACGCCTGCAGGCACGGCAGCACCGCCAGGCGCACGTACCTGCAGGGGGTGGGTGGAGTTTAGGTCAGAAAACTTCCTGCTTGYCGCCATAAAGTGAAAAATAAAAGAGGCTTATCTTTACATGTCCTGGTCAGCCGGCAGGCAGAGAGCGCTGCAGTTGGAGAGCTGCAGGATGTAGACGGTGAAGCGTTCATCCCGGGTCTCGTAGCGGAAGCCGAGCTGCACCTGAGCGCAGCCGGAGGTCAGCCGTTCCTCGTAGGACAGGTCTGCAGGAAGCCCCGGCCTGAAGGACATAACATTTAAAGCAGTCTTAAACACACCACAAGGCTCACGTAGCTCCTGAAATGGACTTTAAATTTAATAAAACATTAGTTTCATCTAAATTTATATTGAACAGTAGTAAAAAACAAACTCGAACCACAAAACTCTGCCTACTTTCGCTCCGACGGTTCGTAAACTCCGCTGTCGCCGGCCACAGACTCGTCCGAGACCGCAGAGGTCACGCCCATCTTCTTTGGCCCCACCCCTTTACGCTGTGGAGCTYAATATATAGAAGGAGGCGACGTTAAAACACGTCTAACAGACCAACAGAACTTACTCGTACTGTTAGCAAAATATCAACTAAACCACTGCATGGATTTTACTGAAACCTTCAGGAAGTGATCATTACATCTGGAACAGGTTACCTTTGAGAGGCGATGCTTCAAAATGGTCATCAAAGGTCATTTTTTTATATTTKGAGGTTTAAAGAATCACAGCAACTCAACCCGACACTTTAATCTGAAGCTCTGATTTTATTTTTTAGAGTCTGAACGAGAAACTAAAAGAAAGTAAAATAGCAGTGAAACTAAATGTAAAATCATAATTTCTTCGCAGCTGAAAGTAAAAAAACTGAAAGGATGAACCTCTTGAGAAAGTGCTGCATGTTTAATTAGAACCTGGACAGAGCCGAGCCGAGCCTCACAGAAACCCGACACCTGGTCCACCTTTCACCTGCGGCTCAGAGAGGAACCAGAGTCCAGCTCCGGCCAACTCTCACTGACGCCGGAGCGTCAGAGTGCAGCTTCTATAAATTAATTACAACTARAAAAAAATGTTTTTCTGTCTTTAACTGAACGGATCAAAGACTTCAAGAGGTCACGTTCAGCAACTGGTTTGGAGCAGGAAGAGGAAACAAACAAACCCAACAACATAAACAACAACAATACTGCAAGTTGGGTTAGCTCAGATGTTAGCATTAGCTCAGTTTTTGTCACTTTTAGGATAATTAAGCTTGCTAATTCAAATTAAATATATTTTTTACTTTAAGTTAAAGTGGTTTATTTACAAATTTACACACAAACATTCAGGGATCAGTAATTATGACGTTTGAGGAAAACGTTGACGGATGGAAGGAAATAATGTTCGAATCCCAAAACATGTTTCAATTATTATACTGAGAAAATAACGTAAGACAACTCGTTAAAGAAAATCTAACTTAATAATAATAATAATAATAATAATAATAATAACAACATTTGAAGAAGACCACAACAAAGACTAAGACAAGCTAGAAGACAATAAGGACAGAGGACAAACAGCACAGCGAAGACGAAAAAGGAAAAAATGAAGACGATGGCAAAGATATAGAAAGCAACAAAGAATCATCAGCGTAGAGGAAGACCATGATGACATGGAAGATGTAGAAGACAAAAAAAAAGAAAACTAAGAAGACAAGAATCATAACAAAGACAAAGATGGAGAAAAAGAAGACAACAAAGAAAATGATAAGGAAGACAAAAGTCCAAGATGAAGATGATGTCAGAGAAGATGAAGACGTAGAAAATGACAGACACAAAAAGATGACAATGTAGAAGACAAAGAAAACCAAAAAGACAAAGAGAAAAAGAAGACGATGAGGACATAAAAGACAAAAAAAACAATAAAAATGATGGACAGTGATGATCAGAGGTGACAACGACCTGTCAATCAAATGTTTATTTTAATTTTAATATACAGAAGAAGAGACTATGAAGCAGCGAGACGTTTTTAGTTTTATTTTGTGTAATCTTTAAACTTTAATATTATATTATAAATATTTAATTTATAAACGAAGTTTCCATGTGATTTTATCTAATAAAAGTTATAGATCAGCTGAATTTACTYAAGCGTTTTGTAGAACAGGAAGTTCCATATTTGGGCGTGGCTCCAGTCTGCCGCTTACCTTTCCCCTGCTCGTTCAGAGCGTTGCTGTGGTTCTGCTCCTCCCGCCGCTGCTCCTCAGAGTCCAGCTCCAGCTCTGCCAGTCGGCTGCGCAGCTCCAGGTCCAGCCCGCCGGGCCCCGTCTGGCCCGCAAGCACCTCCCCCGACAGGAAGCTGACGTCAGAGACGAGCGGCGAGCACGGCGGGGACGGCGAGGACAGAGACGAGCGGGACGACAGCGAGCTCATGGAGCGAGGCGTCTCCGACAGTTTGAGCGCCTGGATCCTGGAGGACTCCCCCCCGGCCCCGGCCCCTCGCCGCCCGCCGCAGCCAGTCACCACCTCGTGCTCGTGTATGGTGGTGATGGAGCTGGAGGGGCGGTAGCCTCCCTGAGCGCCGTCTTGCAGGAGACTCTCCAGCTTGGCGCGCAGATCCGGGTCGGCCAGCTCGGGCTGCTCCAGGTACATGTCGCTGAAGCTGAGCGAGGAGGAGGAGCCCAGGCTGGAGGTGGTCGCCAGAGAGCCGCGGCTGGACGTCAGCGAGCCCAGACTGCTGCCTGACGAGCAGGAGAGTGTGCTGGCAGACAGGCTGGAGGCCACACCCACCAGGTTTTAGTTAAACAGATCAGTTAATCTCAGATTCAGGTTAAATCAGCAAAGATCAAAGCCTACCTCTTGAGCTGGGTGTGCAGCGTCGTGGCCAGTCGCACCATCTCCTCCAGCTCTCGGACCAGTTCCTTCCTCTTACAGTGAAGCCTCAGCCTGAGCACAGAACCAGAACCGGGTCGGTTAGAAACACTGAACCTGAACTTCAGGAAACAAAATCTGAATCTGAAGGGAGGAAACCAGTCTCTGATCCTTCTAATTTCTCTAAACTCTTTGTATGTTTACCTGACAGAAACATGAACAGAAATCAATAAAAATAATAATAAATAAAAACAAAGAAGGTCAAAGACGACAAACAGAACCTGAAGATGGTTTTGATGAAGATAATCTGATTTAATTCATTTAAACTCTGATATTTTATTTTCTCATTCTTAATC